GAGATATTTATTTTAAAAATAAATATATTATAATCCTATCTATGGTTGTGTTTGGCAGTTACATCTTGCTCCAGAGCAGTATTTCCAGAAAACAATGGATGTAAAGAAGTCTTCAAATTCTTCTACTCAAATCAATTAAGGTTAAACAGGCCAGAATTAGAATGATTCATGGTCTTGCTATTTTATAACATCTTCTCAGAGCAGTTATCTTCTCTGGATTTCCTAAGCTTCTAGTTATAAATAATTCTCTATAATTTTTGAAAAATAGTTAAGGTAAAAATTTTCATACATATTTGCAAATAGATTGCAAAAGCTGAGACTAATAAAGATGATTTTCTAACATACTTTAATCTTCAGCACATTAATTGACTATAGTGAATATCGAAGAGGGTTAACCTCGTTGTTGCAACTTGGTATTGTTGTCCGGGGGACTTAGTAGAACGAACTTAGTCCTAAGTCTACTGTCATAGTAGTTATCATAATTCCCAGCATCAGACAGTGGACCTGGTATATTCTCAAACGTTTCGCCGGCATCGTAATCGGCATCATCATTGAACTTTTCCATTCGCCGCACCAAGCTAAGAACTCGTCAAAGAAACAAGCAAAGTCAATGCTTTGACCAACGTTCTTCCGAAAACGGTTACACTATCACTCCTCTTTTTGTCCTGGCTATCTATCTACTCTTTACCCTCTTATCCCACTGCCGTCTTATCACAACTTATCACTTGCTTACATTCCACTCGTCAAAATATGTGCCCTTTTGTGACAAATCTTGTGTGGCTTCATCACACTTGCTATTTACCCCGACCCCTCTCTTTCGATCAGCTGATCCGACTCGGGACTCCAATCAGAATACCCCTCATCCTACCGTAGATCCGTTTCTTGTCTTTGTGGTTGACCGATTTCACTCGGATCCAGTGCCAGTTTGCGTTTTAAGGCCGTAGAAGCATGTAGACTGCCGCTTCACCGAGTAGAGGGCCTATGCCCTGATTGCCATGCTTCATATATCAGGCATTGCCTTCATGGGTCGTGACCGTGATTAAACCCGTGTATGCGAAGAAAGGTAGGGTTTCGAGGAATCTCTTGTTTAATAATTGTTGAGCTTAATTCCATTTCGAGTGAAATTGTTGGGTAAAAAGATTCGAAGGTCAGTTCCACCAGAAGACGACGGCGGATTCCTCTTGACCAGCTGTCGATTGGCTTTACTGGTCGGAGGTCGGTTCCACCAGAAGACGACGGCGGATTCCTCTTGACCAGCTGTCGATTGGCTTTACTGGAAGATTTATGCTGACGCTGTTTACGAGACAATCTCCTTCGATACCGGTGAAAAGGTGCTGATAACGGACATCATCAGAGCGAGGTAACATCGTCACAAAAAATTCAAGCTAAAGAGTCACCAGCAAATCCCTAAATAGTGGCATATATACATCTGGCCTCTTTCATCAAGTATAAAGTGATTTATTTAGTTAATGTCAAATGTCAACTTCGATGCATGCGAGTGGGGCTGTCTTGTTTTTAATTAACGAGATTGATTGCAATATAAAGTTTACAATGGAGATGGCGGTCAACGACACTTAACCCTTTTTAGATGTATTAGTAATCATAACAGGTGAGAAGTTAAGCAGGGATGTCCATAGAAAGCCAACACCTGCTGGCTTGATACTTAACTTTTTCTCCAATTATAGTTACAAATCAAAGGTTAAGTTTTAAAATAGATGA